AATATATTGTGCCTTAATTAAACCCCAGTTTTTATTATAGAAAAGCTGAATCATGCCGAAAGTTGGTGGGTTCTATAATGATGGTAATAATATCTTTCTTCGCACATACAAAAAAATAAATGTTGGGTCCTTCTGGGGTGTCTTCGTTCAAAAGGATAATAATACGTGTTATTGTTTTAATATTGTTTTTTGGGTTTTTTTTGGGTTGTTAGTTTTTTTTAATTTGCTTTTTTATTTTTGTTGCTGTTTTTCTTGCTTGATTGTTTCTATTGTGGGGGAGGGGGGAGGGGCGTCATATCCCTGATACCAGGAAACATTAGAGCAGTCACCTTGTCTTCTTGTATTCTCTTGTGGAGAGAATTTATGTTGAGAACTTCTGACTTTCTGCTGAGATGTTGTTTCACTCTCTGCTTGGGTTAGCTGTGACAGACAGGGTCGAAGCACGCTTCCTAAATGATTTAAATTGTGTCGATGGGAGCGTAAAATCGCACCCCTAGAAATGAAGAAGCCAGCCGCAAGTCAACATTTCAAGGCAATGACTATCATTTCTGTTGCTGCGTTATATACTGTGGCGGGTGGATTTGTCTTACGCTGTGCTGTTTTCCTTGTGTATGTATTAGTGAATTCCTGTTGTTCTTGTAATCACTTTTTCCACTAACTGGCGTCTGTTATGTAATGATAAAACCAGTAGCCGCTGCTTGTTGAAGATACGAGTTCGATTATCGCTTTGAGAAGTTTTTTGGGTTTTTTTTTACCGCGTATCTAGATCTATGTCTGCTTGCTGATCTGTTGCATCCCGTTTTAAGCAACCCGTCTCCTAATATGATCTAAACATTGTGAAACATTAGAGCCACTCCCCCCCCCAATCGCACCCCTACCCCATAAATATCTATTAGGTTATGACTCTCCTTCCTTCTTACTTCATATGTTTGTTATGGTCAGTATGCCAGTGTTTCAGCGCCTGTAAACTGGTTGCAGGCCCCGTATGCTTCCCAGGAAGTACACATTGTTTCAGAATAAAATTAAGGCTATCAGGTTTGCTGGGGTAATAGAATAGATTGTAAAGCACATAGGGCTTCCTGTTGGGTAGGAATTTGCGCGATACACATGCTATTAATTTTATGTACTACCCTCTCACGTCATCTTAACTCGCCCCGTAAAATCTGTTTTCTTAAATTAGGTCTGATGGCGTTGAGGGGTAGAAAAAAAGGGAAGAGTTGTGAAGGGGGAGGGGCAGTAGGGCAGAGTGAATGAGTAACCACACAGATAAAGAAATGCCCCAAAGCCTTCAGCTGCTTGAAGTGTTGGTGCACATAATGTGACGAAAGTTCATCTTCTTTGAATTCCAGTTTCCCACTCCTTCTTCCCTTTTTTTACAAAAAAATTCTCTTATTCTCTGATTCTGAATTGCGCTTTCTGGGTGGTTTCTGCTCCATAGAAGTTTGGACAAGCTTTAGGTAGAACCTTGCCTTGTGTCAATTTCCACAGAGTTTCTCGATTTAAATGGGCTCTTCTTTAAATTGTGCCTGTGGC